TAAACAAAGACAGTTTAACTAATACCGGAGTAATCAATGGGGCATAATACAAAATTTAAGATCCGCGTACTGGTGCATGTAGGCATGCAAATCTGTAACAACGGCCCACATCTTTTCAAACCTTCCATGCACAAAACCTGGTAAAAATAATGTGGGGCAAACACAAAGAACGGTCAACTTTTGAAAGGGTCTGAAACAATGCTTTAGCCTTTTGGCAATCTCAAAACAGAATGCTTACTCTATTTTAATTTCTATTTATTAAACTTCCATGTGAAAATAAGCATAGTCAAAAAGGAAACAACGAAACAATCAAGAAAAAAAACCCATGAACTTGTTGGCCAAATGTGAATCATTTTAGAACTCCTCCTCTTTCGACTCTCAAATTCAGGTTGAAAACTATTCACTTACTGTAAATACTAAAGAAAGAGGGCTACAGCAGTTTTTTAAAAACCCCAAATTTCAAAAATCAATTGGGCCTGACACTCGGAGGTAAGATTGGAAGAAAATGAAATATCCGTGAAATAATCATCAAAGGGTTTGATCATGGCCCCACAAAAGACTGACGAAAGGTGTCCACCAGTGGCATATCCGGCTTTTTATGTCAGGAGGGGAGGGCCTGCTTAAAGACATCCCTTAATATACATGTACCTATTTCTTGTGTTTGATATCAAATGTTTAACACACCATAAAGGTAAACTCAGGATTTGCCAGATGTTAAAACAGATTGCTTGAAAAATCCTGAAATCAGGAAAATCATGACAAAAATCATGAAAACGGGAAAAATCCTGACCATTGAGAGAAAATGTTCAGATAAAACTGTATTCATGATACACATATCACGTAATAAGTTAAACCAAGCTTTGTTTTTAATTGAAAGGAGCTGACTGCCACTCAACAAGTCCAACTCTGGCAATACGACAGATGAAACATGAAAAACAACTCGTTCTCCGAGGGAAGGTGTTGGTTGGGTGCGAAATCAGCATCGGCACGGGAACATACACCCCTCCTCCTCCCTCTCTCCCCCCCCCAACAACGAGACTGCGGGCATACCAAATGGAGTCGCACATTCCTGAGAATCACAGATGCAGAGACTTCAGCTGATGTGTGTGGCCTGGGACCTTTCAAACCTGACAATCTCCACTCGAGGAGGGGAATTTACACTGTACTTTTAAGCCGTATAAAATCTTCCACCTCAAGAGCACACATTTGTAAGGATTCATCAATACATTTCTGCGGTGCATGGTGTCATTAATTTCCAGATCTAGAACTTGGGCATTTCTGTATAAAGAGGTGACTGTAAGTACGTGCACAGCTTTACGCCCTACAACCAAACTGTGCATGAGTATTCAAGGGAAAGCCAAAACGGGACAGGCGATTGGGCCTCACCGTGTTTACTCAATAAACGTGACTATTCACCAGGTGGATCTTGTGACTTGTAGGGTACAATCGTTATCTTCCGGCTGGACTTTAAGTGATGACGCGATATGGTTTGCAATTGAAGACATACATGTAAAAGAGGCCATTTTGCTATCAAAGGAGCTTGACGTACATTGTAAGTACTGTGCCCTTGTCCTAAATCTGTCAAGGTGGCCACAGAAAAAAAGTCCATTAAAAAGTACATACATGTACATGTACCCGGTACATGTACTTGCACAGTTCTCTGCAAAGTTTTAGAAATAAAAAAAAAATCTTATATTTGTCAAAACACTTGCTTCAAAAAAACCCCAAAGGCCCACAAATTGAATTAGGCCTACAAGTAAAGTTCTATCCAGGATGTTACTGAACATTATATTGTAAAGTGCACTCAAGTCATGAATACCGGTAATAAACACAGATCCTAACCTACATGCACATGTATACATGTAAGATCATATTCTCCCCCATTTACCCAGCTCCTCTTCACTGATAAACCAAACACATCAGAATGGCATGGAGGTAAAGCCTTTGTGCATATGTAAATTTTGAATTGGGTAATTTTACTTGAACCACCGCCCTCCCCAAAAAAATAAAATCTCAAAACACAAACAAGGAGAAACCCACATACTGCACATTAATTTCTAAGCCAAGGGGACGGATAATTCTCTGCAGACTGGATGTTCTAGTCAATTTTCAATGCTCCATCAAATTCAACCTCAGGCGAAAATGACTCCTTGGTGGAAATTAGACCAGCACCGTGAGGTACTCCGTATTATTGAATGCCGGGAGAATGCATCCGGTACCAGGCTCACTGACGTTTCAATATTTTCCCATTATCTGCCGGGCGCCTCCGGTTTTTGTTTTCATTGTTTCTCCCAGTTTATTTCTGAAGATGACGCTTCGTTGTTTCCACAGCATCTTGTTCATGTGTTTCAGGGGGGGGTTGGCATATTTCTCGAGTAAAGGTTTGTTCATGTGTCATCTTCAAAGGGTCGCATCTTCAGTGCTTAAGGCTACATATGCATCCTCTGTCCTTGGTTCTAGCTAAGTTGTTCAGGGTTCCAGCTGGCAAATTTCAAACACTATCCAAAGATTTAGCTAAACGCGCAGTTTCTGCAATCACATGTAATGTAGTCTTAAAGATTTTTGTCTCCTCCAATGCTCAAGCCGCTAGTCAAATTCTGCAAATACATGCCTGTAGATGTATGTAGGTACGGTATGTATGCATGCATTTGCCATTTACTAACAATGGCAACTAACAGATGGAACTCTGCATGTCCCCTTCACAATGCTCCCCTGAAGTTTTCCAGAGAAAAAAAGAAGCACTTTAACTCATTCCAATGGAAAATACGGTTTGAACACCCAGACACAAAACTTTACATCTCGCACTCAAAGGTAAACTGTGAAGGCTTGATGATGAGTAACTTCATGTTTCAAAACTGGGCCCAAACCACAAAGGCCCCCCTCCCCCAAATACTGGTACTTCTGTTTCCGGTTTCCTGATCGACCCAATTTTTTCGGCGCAACCCCACAATTTTTATCAGCAAGTTATAAAAATAAATTTTAAAAACTATTTTAAAATTTAAACAATGTTTTCAATAAATCCTGTCCTCTTTCTTTACAAACACCTCTGAACAACTTTTTTCATGTTAAAACGTTTTTATGTTTTCCAGCTTACATGTATATTTGCAACTTTTGAAAAGAAACGTCTGTTACTTTCATGAGTTCTCTTCACGTTTCGCTGCCGCAGTGGTGAAAACACGTGCGCAAAGCTCAATGCACTAAAGCAATGCTGCGCTGGTTCCCGCGGCGCTGTGCTACACCCATTCAAAGAATGCAGGATGGAAATGTGGCAACCAGTCTATATTACTGGTGTCGTTACACTACTCCGGGCGAACATGCACACAACCCTACAGCTGCACGTCGAAAAGACATCGACGTTGCAAGAAGATTTCTGCAAGTTATAAATGCACAGAACTTAGTCTGTGGTCTGTGTGTGTAACCTCTATGTTCAGGAGTTAAATATGAGGTTGTTTTGCTCATTCTTGAAGCAAGCGTGCTTCGGTAAAATTTTCTGCCACGGCACAAGGTTTACTGCCCACCCATTTGGATACATCACAGATGCTTTCCACACGATACACGGGCATTACTGGCCAGTGACTGACTGGTGTTGTGCATAGTGGAGTAAATTGTCCATAATTTTTAAGAATTGTCAACTGTAGGAATATTTACATAGATTAAGGCAAGTTTTTATCACTTTTGGGGGCAATTTTTGGTAGATTTCATCCCCATTCATACTATTTAACCAGCACAAAGAAATCGACCTAAAAAAAAATGGGAAGGCATGTAATGGGAAGCCAAACTTTTTTTTGGCCTATCCTCATCTCCTCCTAAACAGCTCTCTAAAGCGCACACAACTTACATCCATTAAAGTAAGCATCAATACAATTCACATAGTATGCATGATTCATGAATGTCAGGAACATCTGAGAGACCTTCTGAGTACAGTTCTCTAGAATTCAAATTAGCAATGGAGATTTACAATGTACATGTAGGTACATGTACGTGTACACCTGTACTAGTATATTATACCAGTGCACGTGTGTATTTTGCATGCGTGCCTTTGTTATAACAAACTGACGATCACTCAAAGAAAATTTCTTTTTCCTTGTTTCCCCTGCCTGGGTTGATTGAAAATACATTACCGAAAAAAAATATCCAGAACTATCACGTGACATTAAATATTCATGCAAACCACTGAAAAGGTCCTGGGGATCTTCCTCGGACGAAGACGACGCAAAGTTTCAAATAAACATCTGACCATTCTTTTACCAAAGCAAATGAACTTCCCTTGTTTTGTGCAGAAAATTACGAAGAGTGATGAAACTCCAAGGCACTGCTTACGAGTGCATGTCGCAGAAAACACAATGGTCTAATAATGGTCACGGCACATGTAAATGCGACAACGATATCTTGTAATTAGTAATTATACAGAGCCAGGGCATCATCACGTACATGTAAACGGAAGTCAACTACCTCATGTACATGTACATACTTGTGTATCCTTCAATACGTACATTGCTATATGAATATTGGGGGAAAAGGTTGGTTTCAGCAATGACAGTACGGTATTGTCTGGGGCTGATGTAAAAAGTCCAATTAGAACCACCGATTGCAGTAACCTGCATGTAGCTACATGTACATGCACTTCATCAGATGTACCAGCCACCTGACCCCCACAAACTCTCTGGCCAGGTAAGCTGCCAAAGCAAGTCAACAGACAGTCATGGGTTCAATCAAGTCCTCCCAAGTGAGCCTGTGAAGTTTTTTAACAAACTCTAGGAAAGTTTCACTTTCGGGATGTTAAACTGGTAAGTGACATGTGACATGACTCGCAGTGTACGACAACTTAAGCACTGAGCACAGAGCAGCATATCGTGGTGCTTCACATACAAAATGGTTTTGCAGAAGCATATTATCAATGCGTCACTCGTTCTTTTCCCACAAAAATGCCCTAAAAAATCCTGGCATGCCATCATATTTGATGTGGAAGTTGAGCAAGTGTAACCAGCCAAGAGACTTACCGTGGTCTTCTCCAGACAGCTAAGCAAGTGGTGATGCTGAGACTCGTAGGCACTGTACTTGCTGGTCAGGTCTTCCAGACTGCAACCACTCTGGAAAGAGACAAGATGGAGAGAATTTTGAAAATGGGGTTGAAGTTATCACACCAGAACAATGTCACAAAGATTTGTTGGGTAAATACGGGTAGGCACAGTGGTCTGCTTTAAACCATGAATGTTCTAGAGGTCGTTGAATTCCTCCTACAGCTGGCTGCTTGCAAAGGTTTTGCACTTGTGCAGGTTTTTTGGCGGTCAGAAAACTGCAGGTGTGTAAGTGTAAATTACAAAAACTTGAACATAATAAGCCACTTCATAAATGAGGTGGAAGTGACCGTTTGGTGATGCATATATGGTCATCCTTGACAAATCACAGACAAACAAACAAAAAGTTGATGTATTCACTACCAAATAATTGTTGGTAAAACACAATTGATGGCAAAACACAAGGCATTTCATCTTTCTTGACAGGTAAAGAACAAAATATTTAAAATATCCCCCCCCTGAAGTATTGGTACAATACACATGTACATGTAGGTGTGGCAAAGAAATAGGCTTTGAGGTTGCTTGGCAAACGGAGAGACCTTTGAAGTAAGCTGACCAGCTGGACTTGAAATACACCAGCATCAATTGAAATCGCCTCTTAAAATATTCCAGTGTCAAGTGCAAATATGGAAAAAGTACATATTATATCACTGCCCCTTTAAAGACCAACTTCCGTGACAAATATCATAATATGGTGGCACAGATACAAAGAAATACATGTATCTCAGAGGAGACTGAACGTGAATGCATGAATTCAAGCGCGATAGTTTTTATGATCTTGAAGTCTGGGGCAAAGGGGACGGTAAAAGGAAGCTACATGTATACAGTTCAACCCAATCAACAATTGTCAAATTTTGAGATCTTTGTTCACAACTGGTATTAACCTTTCACACATATACACAAAAATTTGGGGCTTTTTTCCCCAGGGACAAAAAACTGCCCCCCCCTTTCGAAATCCGTGACACACCATTGGTTTCGTACACCAGCTCCAACGGGAAGATATGCCGCTGCAAAGCAGACTGGATCACATCAGGGCAGTCTTCCTTTAATTCACCACTGATGCAGGATGGGCTGAGCAGCCACACGTGTCTGCACAATGACGATACCAGATCCAACACAATTTCCACAATGATAAACTGGACTTTTTCTGATGACAACAAACTAAGTAACTGCCACAATTTTCCAAGTTTTACAGGATTTGTACGAGTAAGTCCAATGGACAGGGCACTGTGGTGCCCTGTCACACAGGTGTACATGTACATATACAGTACGGTACATACATGTACAGTACATGACATGTTCACGTGAGTAACACAGGCTTTGCGTGGTAGCCATCTTGAAGGACAGTTGTTTTGTTCAACAGGGAAACCTCCTTTGCGCATACCCTGTAGACCAAAAGCACTGGCCTGCAAGCTGGCAGCCATGCAAACATTCTACACACTCTCTTTTAAAATTTCCATCTTGTACAGAACAAATGATAACTTGGCTGGTGTTCATGTCTTTTTAACTTTAAGAAGAGAAAATAGGGCTTTTCTTCAATTTTCTGAAAAAAAAAAGCACTTGCCATGCAGGCGTGTGCTATAAAATATGTAGGGTAAACACATGCACAGAGCCTATAAAATTTGCACAATCATGTGAAAGCTTACAAAAGCGAATAAGGATAATGCTGTCATGTCACTGCGAGGGATAGATGCTCTTTGAACATCTACTTCATATTGAAAGTTTCAATTGGGTTCGACTTCAAATCATGTCTCATAAAGCAATTGGATGAAAATAGTAAATATTCAAAAATTAATAAAAATTAAGAAATTGTGAAAAAAAAACCACTCGTTTTGTTTGATGTGATAAGAACGCACACTGCCATCCATTTTGGAACAACGCCAAGCTTACGATTCAACTTGACTGGGTTTTTAAGTGTTTGAGCTGGTCGTTTGCGCCGGCGGTGCTCATCATCACTCTGACAATTTCAGGTCTTACTACCTGCATGATTTTCCTCCCATTTCTCTACACGAAGTGATGGCTTGATTGCCTCAATAATAACTTAAAACAGGCATCGACATCGCCCGGGCCATCTACCGCTCATTTCATACACATTATTAATGATGGAATGCCTATGCTTCTTCTGTGCATGAAATATTCAGTTTGGGTAAACATGACCACTATTCCACATGGCGCTTGTACATGTACAGTGGCAAAAACAGCCTATCTCCCTTCATTTTTTTTTCTTTCTATATTGCAGCGCACCAACTCATTTCATTAGTAGGGCCTACTTCAGCTGACCTGGATATTCAGGCATGGAATGTAGTAGATGGAAAGATGGAAAAACAAAATAAAAACTGGCACAGCAGATGAGCAGCTGACAGACTGTGACTTTTATAACCAGAAAAAAAAACAAAAGCAAAACCAAACCCCTCCCCCAAAAATCAACTATGCTCAACGACAATGTACTATAAGCAGCATTGACTGTAAGCATGTGCAATTCCCCCATCTCTGGCCCCACGGTTGAAAATAAGGCAAGAAATCCTGGTTACAGAAAGTGGCCTGCATTGGATGACTATTAAGCATTCATGAATCAATCGAGATGGAGTGTGCCCGTACACATGTGTGTGTGTCCATGTACCTGCAGTACACAGTCCATACTGTCTGTATACTGTACAAACAAATGTACAGGTAATGTACATTACAGAGAGTGCTGCCATTGGTTGATGGATGCATTTCCAAATATTAAGTCTAAAATCAAAACAAAATGGATGGAAGATAAATTTGGGGGGGGACCAAATCTGCCGAATACACATAATGACGAGGCCTTCACGCAATCACAAGGTGCATTGGCGTCACTATCGATGGATAAGACTGCCAAAGACACACACTAACTGCTGCTCTGGTAAGGGGCAATTTATCCCTGTATCCCCTCCATTAATACTGCCTTGTTGAAATGCAACTCACAGACACTGCTTATTACAAGCCCCCGTTTGGCCGAGGCCGTTCAGCCTCGCGAAAGTGGAACATTACCGAAACGCATCATCCTAAAAAAAAAGGAACCGAGCACATCCCTGCGACATTTGAACAGATCGCTCAATACTCGGGTTCTCCCTATTGGCAAATCAGTACAGTCTACACCAAAAAAAAGAGGGACTGACAACAGAACGGGGAGAATTGTTGAGAGAAACTTGTCACGAGCAACAGCCACGAAACACAGTGACGAAGAGCATCTTGGCCTGTTGAAACGGCAGTATTGGACCGTGGTGTAGACTGTTTGAAAAGGACCTTAGGGATGATGAAATCAACAGTCGGAGCAAATTTTTGTCACTCTCTTGGAATGTTAACCACTGAACAAATTCCTCTTGTAGAGTGCGAAAGTGACCAAATCGGAAAGAAGTCAATTCAAGCTCTTCAGAAAGGACTGAAATTGCATGTACATTAAAGGCCTTTTCAAACTAGACAAATCTCGGGGTTGATGCAGGGTTGAAAACTGGTGACGATTCACACTTGAAAGTTTTTAACTCCGCGCCGACCCTGCGTCAACCCCGAGATTGCTCCAGACCAGGGTTGAGAATTTTCAACCTGGTTTAAAATTTTTTGTGCTCATTTCTGGGGTTGAACTTACCCTGATAAGCTCAGTTTGCACGAAAAAAGTGTGAAACAACACCGGGTTGAACGTGGGGTTGAAAAATCTAATTTTCAACCCAGGGCAGTCATGGATTCGCCCAGGGTTGAGTTCAACCCGGGTTGAAAATTGTTTGTGCCCATTTCTGGGTTGAACTCATCCTGATAAGCTCAATTCACACAAAACAAGTGTGAAACAATGCTGGGTTGAACGCAGGGTTGATATATTAAATTTTCAACCCAGGGCGGCCATGGGCTGATGGGGCTCACCCAGGGTGGAGTTCAGCCCGGGCTGAGAGGCTGTAGTGTGAAAACGCCTTTGTACACTTCAGGTTGTCACATCACTTGGTACAAAAGTTTTTGCATTTACATGCACAGGGAAAAAGAGCAGCTTCAGAAACTCTGAGTCATCTGAAATGTACTTCAGAAATAGAGAAGAAGACAAGGAGCTGGGAATTAACTCAAATTCTGTATTTTACATGAGGGTTCACTGACAAGTTACACTTTAAATTGATTGTTTTACAGTGGGTGTGTATTAATATTCTCTGGAATTGGTATCAAATAGTGTGGAAGTGAGCAGAAATTTGCAGGCTTCTACTCTTACTGTAAATGGAAATCTGATGAGATTTCAGAAGATGCCCTATGTGTAAATTTCCATCAGTTGCAAAAACAGCAAAAAAGAAATACTGAACATAGAAGCACAAGACCTTGCACGGGCCTTCGGTACAATTCTGGTGTGAGAAGCCGTACACAGTGTAGTCAGACTGTCTGGTCTCCCTTCACTCGAATTATGCATCTGTAATCTGAAGCCGCACAGTGTGGCACTGTGGCTTCACGGCGGTGGTGCTCGCTAGAAGCTTTGCGGCTTCATTACTTTACATATTCGATGGATATACCGGTATGTAGGACTACTGGGCAGCCAGCTAGGCTGGTAAGAAGTGCAAGGGTACAGATTCCTCTGCTTCCCCCTCCCCTCCCTGCCCCGCCACTGTGTAATGACTTCAAACGCTGTCAAAACTTCAGTGACAGGTTTACAGATGTGCGTTTGGCAAAGTACAACCTCATTGGCGATCAAAATCGAGCAAAGTCTTGCTCTCTAGGAAACATGCACCCTGCCTCCTGATAGGAAAATAAATAAATGGCCTTGTGCCCGGTGTGCTGTCATCAATAGCTCTTGCTCCGAGGGTGCCCGGTAAAAATGCACTGACAAGGATGTATTTATTAGAATATACATAATTGATTCGGTCAACATCGTGAGTGGGCGAGGTACTGTACTTGATGAGCGCAGGCATGCCAAAATGAAAAGAACTATTCAGATACTTTATTGCATATGCTAAGAGCCATTTCAAAAACATACTCTAATCAAGTGTGTTCACACTCTCTCTGGCTGCAAAATCCTGACGCTG